TGGTATAAAGGATAATATTGTCAGTCTAACAATCACGGCATTCCTATCGGTATGATTTATTCTCCACTGGAACCCTGAGGATGTTTAACTGGTATATATATATCACAGATAGAGTCAAATGAATAATTTAAGTATTCCTCATGAATGGCTTGACCTTCTGGTTTCCTTGGATTAGTCAATTGACATATCTATAACCAGCTAACCTAAGAAGTTGTTGTGTTATGACTACTATCACCAATTGACTTAAGAAGTGATTGTGTTATGGTTTATTATGTGTGCACCTACTATTATGAAGACAAATGAATAATTCAAGTATTTCTTATGAATGACTTGTCCTTCTGGTTTGCTAGGATTAATCAGTTGTCATGGATACCACCAGCTAACCTAAGAAGTTATTATGTGATGGTTTATATACATCAGACCTACCAATTGACTTGTCAGTAATATGGAAGTTGATTGCTGTAAGGTAGCATTTTCAGTATTTAACCAATATAACACATATGAGATTCTTGAACTGAAAGATACTTTTTATTATTGTCTTAATCTATCTACATATAACTGTTTACTTAAACTAGTTATCAATCTAAGGTCACATCACAAGCTATCACATGTTGTCCTATTCGAATTAACAACTTAACTATTTTATTTCGTTTCCAAATTATTAAAACTCTTCGTGGGATCGATACTTTGACTTAAAATAGAGAAAACTATAATTTGACCACTTATACTTGGATGTATAATATTAATCCGATCACTAAAAAGTGCGAATCAGACTCCCTCACATAATTATTCAAGATTATTAATCTAGGTAGTTACCTCACATCATTGTAACTATTTCTCTTAAAGGTAGTTCATTGTGATGCACGCCTTTGGTTTATCACATCTTTAGTTTTGTGTTTTTTGTTGGTGTTTTTGTCTCATCATGAATGCGTGCTACTGTTTTCTGGATTGTAGAGGATTATAAGGCGAATGCAATTTTATAAGCACATATATTCTGCTTCGAATCAAATTAGTGGTGTAGTTTCACCAGGTAAGATTTTCTTATTTGAAAAAAAATATGTTCTTTGCTTAGTGACTGCCTAACTTTGATGAATTGACGGGATTCAAAATGCACACACCTATACCTAGGATTTTTGCTTTATTGAGTTATCTAAAAGTTAATACCTTCATAATTGGAAGTAAAATCCATGGCAATTAAAATCCTCTTAATAGCATGTGCTTTATTTTTAGTCATTTCATCTTAAGGACCTCGACCTTTGATAATCCAATGATTGTGGGTTTGTAAGATTGTTGACTTTTTAAGGAAATGGCTATGGTTAATAGTTGGGATTTGAGGCACTGGACTATGTTATGTTTTGTTCTTGCTCTGTTTTGTCTTATTTATTTGAAAATCCTTTTAGTTTATTGATTAAGAATACATGTGGAAATGATCAATGCTTTTATTATTTGCTGCATGTTATTATGCCATATTTCCAGCTTCATACCTTGAATTCTATATTTTATCTTCTACCTTTGTGGCTATGCCTCTTAAAGGCTATTCATTGTGATGCACTCCTTGGGTTTGTCACATCTTTAGTTTTTGTGTTTTTTGTTGGTATTTTTGTCTCATCATGGATGGGTGTTGCTGTTTTTTGGATTGGAGAGTGGATTATAATGAATTCCATTTGTTAAGCACATATACTTAGCTTTCAAGAAAATTAGTGCAGCAACTTCTCTAGGTAAGATTTGGTTTGTTTGTTTCTTATTTGAAAAAAAAAATATCCTTTTTGCTTAGTGACTGCCTAACTTTGATGAATTGACGGGATTCAAAATGCACACTTATACCTTTGGATTTCTAATTTATTGAGTTTTCCAAATGTTAATACGATCATATAGGAAATTTATGTCTAAATTTCATTGTAGCAGCTGAGGCTTTTCGAAACTTCGTGTGTCCATTTTTAATTGAAGTTTTTATGTCTAATCAACATAAAATATGGGCTTTAGACTCCATGCTTTATTATCATGAAATTACATTTTAACTACATTTTGTCGGTTTGCTTATGATGCATATGCATTCGAATGTACTGTCAGAAGCTTAGATGATGATTTTTAATTGTCCGTACCGCTGAAACGAACATTGTTCTGAATATTTGTCTTGATGCTTTTGGTTTATTTCGTTGATTACATTGTAGCTAGGCAAATTGTCCCGTGCTTGATTATTTCAAGTTCAGTGCTCGATTATTTTCGTTCAAATTTAATATTCGATTTTTTTAGTAGATAGATATGAGAGAAAAAAATTTTTAATGTTAGTCAAACTCTTAACCTATATATGAATATAGATAAATATGAGAGAGAAAATATTTTTATGTTAGTCAAACTCGTAAGATTTAAGAATTTTTAATTTTTAATTTTATTTCACTTCTAAAGGGAATAGATAGTACGATAAAATTGACAAAAAAACAGACTTCATAACAAATAAATTTCCTTAACAGACTTAAGTCCAAATAAGTCCAGGACCAACCTTCAAATTTCTCTTAATTTTATTCTTTTTTAAAAATATTTTTATATTGAAAGTATACACCAATATAAATTTTGATCATTATTTATATAATAGGTTAAAATAAAATTAAAATTTTTAATTAGTGATTATATATGTGGTGATAGTAATTGATGAAGTAAGTATAGATGAAATGAATTTTCTAATTTGAAATAAGAAGGTAAATGGGGGGTGGAAAATAAAAATCCCACCCAATTTTTTTTGATCTATATTTTTAAGAGAAATGTTATATAGAATTAAAAACTAGACTTTATAATCTCAACCATGTATTTCACTGTGGGTTCTAATATTTATTGGGATCCACTACCAATTCAATTGTTGAAATTATGAAATCTAATTTTTAATTCTACTTTTTAAATTCATCTAACATTACTCATTTTTTGAATGAAATCCTAGAATTTTTGGCGGTATTTTTGCCCTAATCCCAGAGGGTGTGTTTGGCAAGTATGTGGGGGGATAGGATTGGTTTGGTTTTTTAATCCAAACCATAATTTTAAAACCCGGCCCGGACACCAACCCGGAGAAGGGACGGGGTCAATGGATTTCTGGTTCAACCACTGGGTCACTGGTCAAACCGGTGATATAATAAAAAAATAAAAAATAATTATTAATAATGATAAATAGACTAAAAAATTAAAATAGTTATAAAAATAGCATGTTTAATATATATTAAATCAAACAAAGTTATCAAACCTAAATCACTTAATTGCATTCAATTAACAAACCAATGCATTCAATTAACGGCCCAGCCTCCACCCTTAAACTTGAATCACTTAATTGCATTCACTTAATTTTTGAGTTAACAAATACTGAACGAATGATTTAGGATTTAGGGCAAGACAGAAGGGGAAAAGAAAAGACACAAAAATGTAAAAAAAAAACATATTTATACTAAAGGAACAAAACCGGCCGATTTTGTAAATCCGATCTGATTTTCACGGGTTACCGATTTTTTGACCAGTTCACCAGTTTTATTCCGGGTTCTTTATTCAAACGGTCCAATTACAAAACCGGCCCGATTAGGGGACCGGTTCACCTGGTTAACCCGCCGGGCCAGGCTGGGTTTTAAAACACTAATCCAAACCAATCCAATGAAAACCCAAGTCCGAAGGATATAGACAAGATATTAATAAAGTTGTGTAATTCAATTCTTACTTTGGGAAGTACTTTTGTATTTTATGGGACGCACAGAAAAATTATTATTTTTTGTGTAAAATCTCTTACCTTTTACATTAAATTAGAATTTTACCCTTCACTACTATCAAATCCAAAGTTTATGTTGGGTTAGGCAACATTATTTATTTTGTCCACCTTTAAACCTCACTCCAATTTTCATCTATGTTACCAAGTGTACAAACCGAAAATAATTTGGTTTTAATGTTTGCAATACCAAAATTTTTTTATCTAATTAATTTGCTCATAAGATTCTAGAAACGTCATTCTGTTTTTATGAGCTTGAAGCCATAAAATTAGTTTTTTTTTCTTTCATATTACTACAAAATATGTTTGTTTTCCTGGTATTTTTCTAAATGAAAAAAAAAAAAGTATCTCAGATAATATTATAGATTGAAGGTTGGCTAGAAGTAAAACCAAAAGCACAATAATCAAAACTAAAATAGAACAAACCTTTCACCCAAAGCAAAAAATTTTGGGACACGTCACAAAGAAAAAATTTTTGCAACTAAGAAATCACCCTAGAGAAAGAGAGAGAGAGAGAGAGAGGTGTCATTTCTTGATTGTATGGGTAAAAGAATTTGCATGTCAATGACTTGGATATTCTTGAACTATGATTAACATCATCTTGCTTGCATGCGGGCTCTGATCAAAATTTTTTTTTTTTAATATGATCATAATTAATCCATGTTGTTGTTGAGAGAAAAAAAAAATCAGAATTATTATTTTTTTTAAATGATCAGAATTTAAAAAAATAAAAAAATAAATAATCTTAAGCTAGTGTTTTAGTTTCTGAGTCTGTACAAAGAAGCAGAGAAAGTGTATGTAGAATGATTTTTGTTCTACAAATCAGACTGTCCAGAACCTTCTCTTTGGTGAGGTTTGTTTGCAGGTTGTAGATCTTGTATACATATACATATAGACCAAGATACATAGACATATATACACACACACACATATATACGCACACACAGATAGCAAGAGAGAGAGAGAGAAAAGAAAGAGAGATATACATATATATATACACAGATGTATAGAGAGAAAAACAACATATGGACTTTGAGATAGATAGATATATATATAGAGAGAGAGAGTTTTACCTTGCACTGGGCGCCTCTTGCGAGAAGAAGGACCAATGAAAAGAAGTAAAGTGAATAAGACAAAAATGGGTGAGGGGGTAAAAACTCTACCGTTGGTACTGTTTGAGGATAGTTTAGTAATTGCAAGCTCAATCTAGTCATTGGGCTAACTAATTCCAAAGTTATGGTGGGATATAATAAAACGAGTGAGAATGGATAAATGGGAGAAATTACTACAGGCCGAGGAAATGAGCCCAACAAATATCCCATACAAAAAAATGGATCCAAACCAAGGATTTGTGGACTCGGACAAGAAAACCCAATCAATCGGATTTATCCCACTTTATCCCTTTTGCCAAACACACCCTCTATTCTTTCACATCGTCTCACGCTTCAGTGGCCTCTCCGCCCTCGCCGACTCCCTAATCTCCGGCGATCACATCTCAGTCTTCTCAGATATTACTCTAGCGATCACATCTCACGCTTATCAAATATCATTCCCAAGCCCCTCCAATCCCTCAATTTCTCTCTCCTCTCTTTGTGCGCCGTCATCTCCGGCGAACCCACTCCTCCGTCTCGGCCCCATCATCACCCCCACCAACAGAGAGAAAGAGAGACATGGGCACTGGAAAGAAAAAGATCGAAATAAAGAAAAAGGAGAAAGAATCAGACAGATTGGTGACTTTCTCGAAGAGATGCCAAGGTCTCTTCAAGAAAGCCCGTGAACTCCACTCGATAACCGTTGCCGACGTCGCCATTCTTGTTTTCTCGCCGGCCTGCTGAGTTTACACACACGGTGACCCATCCTTTGATGCTGCAGTTGATCGGTTCTTGGGCACTAATCAAGAAAGCCGGGTTGATTGCGAGAACCACTCGTGGAGGACATGGTTGAACGCTAAACAACCTGAAGCGTGTGATAATGTGGACCAGCTACTTTTGTTGAAGATGCGTTTGGAGGAGATTAAAGAAAAGCTAGTTAGCCAGATTGATGATGAGTTTGTGAATTCTTTATTGGTCTGATTATGGTTTTCGGCTTAGGAGTTTGCTTAACGAGTCCATCATTGCTGCGCTTGCTTTTGTTGCCGGAGGCGCCTTTCAATGCCACAAGCGTGGGGTGGGGTTCGTCAATTCTTTATTAGTTTTTGCTTCTTCCTGAGTCCAGTAGTATTATTCTATTATTGGGTATTTTTGCTTAGAAGCTTACTACGGGCTAATTCACTTTCTTGATTCAGCCATGTGTATAGTTGACTGGATTAGCCCTTTTAACTAATGAATTCTTTGAAGTAATCGTTGGTTATGTTTACCACTGATTCTAGAGTTATTTTGATTGCCTCAAAATTAAGGCAGTGACTCTTTCAGGTTTTGAGAGTTATATATGTAGTCTTTTATTGTGCATATTAGGTGTGAGCTCTTCTGTAGTGAGATTGCTCAGTGTACTTTTCAGGGCCTGTTTGAACTTCGTTGCAATATTTTGGTTTTTGGGAAATAATTAATCTTCGATTATGCCTACAACTTCTACTGTTTTTTGTGTGATTAATCTTGCCATGATATCTGATTAACTTGTCACTGGCTGTTGAAGAGTTTAATAACCCTTATGCAGCTCAAACTGTTGATTCAATTGGTCTACTTGGTTTCTTTATGGTCTCATTGGCACCGCTTAATTCATTAAACATGATTTTGCCAAATAATATTTTCACGGTTTTTAATTCACAACTCCATAATCTAAAGTTTCGTGAGTCTTCACCTCACCCAAAAAGCTAGGCTCTTGGTGCAAACTGTGGGTTGCGACCTCGGATGGACTGTGGATTTATATTGTGTTTGACAGAAAAGCTCCAAGACCACTATACTACGCTATTAGGCTGGAGTAAAATTTTCTGCCATTTTTTTTTATTTAGATCTAATTTTAGATTATCAAAGTTCAACCATATTTGAGAATTCTGGTATGTTAATACATGTAGAATGTGTTAGAACAACGAACATATTTTGAGTCAATGCCTTCTATTTCAATGAATTTTTGTACGCCCAGTTAATTTTGGTCCGAAGCTCCAAACTCGATTTGGAGGCCTGTCCAAATCCTGGTCTCCCCAGTTAATTGGCCTGTGACAAGAAATTCTGGTTTTGCACAGGTGAGATATGTATCACCGCAAAAACAATGAAAGAAGACAGAATGGTGGTCTGCTGCAGGCTCAAACTCTTGATTCAATTGGTGTTCTTGGTTTCTTTATGGTCTCCTTGGCATTATTTAATTCATTAAACATGATTTTGCCAAACAATCTTATATTTTCATGGTTTTTAATTCAGAAATGCATAATCGAAAGTTTGGTGAGTCTTCACCTCACTTGAAAAGTTAGGCTTTTGGTGTAAAGCGTGGGTTGCGAATCTTGTGATTTTGAATGGTCTGTGGGTGTATATATTTTATCCGTCAGAAAAGTTTCAAGTCCACTATGCTATGCTGTTAGGCCGGAGTCCAAGTTTCTCCCATTTTTATAGTTTAGAGCTAATTTTAGATAGTAAGAATTTCTAATACTGAATCTTCAACCATGTTTGACAATTCTGGTATATTTTATCTGACTTGTAGTTAAACACATGAATGTACTAGAACAATGAAAATATTTCGTTCCAAGCTCAAAAATCGATTAGGAGGCCTGTCCAGATCCTGGTCTCCCCAGTTAATTATCCTGTGATAAGAAATTCTGGTTTTGAACAGGTGAGAATTGGATCACTGCAACACAACAAAACGGAAGAATGCTGGTCTGCGACAGGCTTGTGATTCACTTGTTATAAGCAAGCCTCTGAAGACATCTCTCTCTGGTTCAAGGGTGAAAGAAAGGTTTCTTCCTGTCTCTTCAGGTGTTTAGGTCAAAGGTTATAATACCATTCATTAATAAGTTTAAAAAGGTTTGTGTCTCTATCACTCCTATTTATGTGTGGATGGTTTTATTTTTTTTCCCTATTTGAGTGCCATAGTAGTATGTAATAGTTGTTTATCCTATTTCCCATGGCTTGCTTGACTGATTGCTTGTGATTTTGGGGAATGATGCTGTATCTTACCTTTTAACTTGACAAGGAATTGAAGTTTCTTTCAATTTCGGATTGGCACTTACATAATTAGATCTTTGATTTACTACCACCAGCTTTCATTTGGATTGGGGTTAAATGAAATTAACATACTTGGATTGGGGTTAAATGAAATTAACATACTTACTTTTTGAGCTACTTACCAATCTCAATATTGTTCTAGTTTTCATGTCAGCATATATGCCATTTTTAGGCTCTGTTATTAACAAAAGTTCTGCTACTTTGAAGTTTTGGGCCTGTAAAGTATGGAATAAATATGATTAGTGCATGTGGGACGATACCATGTTCAATCGAGTGTTTTCATGGTTCCTTGATCTTGACTTTCTAAGGTTATATTGATATTTTTACGGATTTGTTTGAAACATCATTTTTTTTAGTCTTCACAAACTTATGCTGAAGGTTGGCATCAAATTTGGATATTTATAGACGAAGAATAATAAACCTTTACTTGTTAGGTGTGTTTGTGTATGTGTTTAAGAACGCATGTCATTCTATTTTCGTCTCCAGAGACATGTTTCTCTGATTTGCTGCTTCCTTTCTGGTAGCCTCTGCACATCTCTGGGGCATTGCTCACCTCCATCTCCATCATTCTCTGGCCAGTTTTGTTTCTTTCTTTTTTCATTTTACATCCTCTGCCCTTACTTGTTCATCAACTGCCATTCATTCCTTTGCTTTATGTTTGGTGATTTGGTTTCATTTTCCTCAAAAATAGGATGAGTTTTGAACTTGAAATATTCAGCTGTCAAATTGGCTTGAAGATTTATTTCTTGTGATAATAATCTTTAACTAGTGTGTGCATGCCATTTTTTTTTTATTTTGGTTATCTGCTTACTCAATAGACCTACTAGCAAAGTATCTATGAAATTGGCTATTGAAATATGAAAGAGTGAGGCTTCAATATCACCTCTTATCAATATCACCTCTTATCTAATAAGCAAAGCTGTAGAATTGCATGCTAACATTTTATTGGCTTCTTTTATAGCTAATTTATTGTGAATCTATGCAGGAACTTGAAGTTGTTCTCACTTTATTCATTGCAGAAAGAAAATAGTTACTATCTAAATGACCAATAAAAATTGAGTTCCATTTTTTCTTTTAAATCTTATTTATTATGCTTTTTGCAAGGCTTAAAGTTAGCAAAAATAAGTATGGAATCAACTCCAACAGATGGGACTCTGAAGTGCTAAGTAAAGGATCCTTTCGAAATCCTTGAAAAGGTATCTCTCAAGGTTTGGAGGATTTTAGAAAGCACATTACTCTAAGAGTGGGGGATGGGGAGAGATTTTGTTTTTGGGAGGATATGGTTTTTCCTGGATGAGGATCATAACAAAAGGGGAGTGGTTAGGCTATCCCACCTAGCCAAGTCAGAAAAAATAGATTAGATCTAAATGAAAAAAAGAAAATAGAATACTTTTTTTTAATGAGTCCCCTTTTGCTTTATTATTCCCTTATTGGTTGCCAGGTTCCCATAATGCTCTTGTGACTAGTTTGTTTGGTGCTTCTTCCTCTGAAACAGGGTGGAATTTCAATTTTTACTGTAAACTTAATGATAGGAAAAATTTGAAGTTGGCATCTTTTCTCCCGCTGCTTAGTTCGGTTTCCATGGATTTGTTGGTCGAAGATAAAAGAGTTTGGTCTTTTGATTTTTTTGAAATTTTCTCTTATGGTTCCTATTTTCAACATTTAATTGATAATTCTTATTATCCATTCTTTGAATCTTACATGATCATTTGGAAGACTAGAGTTCCAGTGAAGGTGCAGATGCTTACTTGAGTGATTCCTCATGTTAAGGTTAATAATTGTGACTTTTTGCGAAAGAGAGACCTAACATGTTTCTTTCCCCGAATTGATTTGTTTTGAGTACAGAAAGTGGTGAAACTATTAATCACTTGTTCTGGCACTTTTCTATTGCTAAATTTTTGTGGCATAAGCTTTTGTGGGAAGCGGATTTGCGGTGAGTGATGCCTGGTTATTGTATATCCTTATTTGTTGTAAGTTTTGGTGGTTTAGGGGTTGGGAAAAAAGCTTCATCACTGTGGATATGTGCTTTTTTGGCCATTTTTAGTGGTGTGGATGAAGAGGAATAGGATAATTTTTGAAGGGAAGGAGGAGGAGTTGTAATGGGATAGACTGAAGTTTTTAGCATCTTTGTGAGCGAGGGCTTCAAATGAGTTCCGTGACATTCTTTTGGTTTTCCACAAAATTGGAAAGCTTCTTGTAGCTGAATCGTCTTTTTTGGTTACTTTTGTTTTTATTTATGGAATTTTGGGTGGATCTCTTATCTACCACTCATCTACTTTTTAATATTTCAATGAAAGGAAAGTATTAATAAAAAAAATTGATGTTTGTAGATATTGCTCTTGCTCTCTTATGCAATAAATCAAGCATTAGTTGCTTTGAAATAATAGGATGGGAGAAGGCTGAAATTAGAGTGACAACTTGAGGCTGTAACTCAGCAGAACTCGACCCTTGAGGATCGAGTTGGCCATCTTGATGGAGCACTCATGCCTGAAATGGCTTCGACAAGCAAAAGAGGAGGAAGATCAAAAGATCCATGAAGCTATTGCCAAAAATCTTGTGAATGGGAATCTGTAAAGTCTGAACTTGAGAACCAGCCTGTTGATCTTTGGTCCCAACTTCAAGCTGCTAAAGGTGAAGTTGTTACCTCTATGATCATGATATTTCCCTTAAGCTTGAAGCTGAGAAATAAAACTTCTGCCCTGAATCTGGAGCTCCTCTCAAGAGCTGAGAAGCTGGAACTTACGCCAATTGAGAGGGATTTGAGCACTCAAGCTACTGAAACAGCTAGTAAGCAGCATCTGGCAAGCATAAAGAACGTGACTAAGCTTGAAACTGAATGCCGCTATCTAAAAGCAATGGCTCACAAAGTGTCACCTGCTAATGATCACAGATTTATGGTTGCATCCTCCGTTCATCTTGAATATTTTACAGATAACCTAGCAGATAGTATGGAGGGGCTACTGGCCTTTGGGCATCTGCTTTAATATGTGAGCCAGATCAATTTCAGAATGAGAAAGCTCGAGAGAAACTTCCTGTTCACTTCAGTTTAGATTAATCTCATGGATGATTTCTTTGAGATGGAAATGCTTGCAGGAATACCCGAGACAGAAAGCGGAAGCTGACCTGATTCGGGAGCTTTATCTAATCAAGCCCATGTTGGGGAAAATCTTTAAAAGCTGAACCCAAAGGCATTATTAACCAGATAGCTGAACTAGAAGAGAAGTTAGAGAAGATGGGAACAGAGAAAATGGAATTGAAGATGGCGTTAGCTGAGTGCGAAGACCAACTTAAAGCATCAGGAGATGGGTTGGATGAAGAAGAGGTGAAATTGGTGGAGCTGAAAACTCACTTAGATTCAGCAAATGAAGCAAAGAGAGCAGCTGAGATAGAACTTGGGGCCACCATCGGAAAGCTTAGAATATCAAGAGAAAGGTTAAATGGAGCTGGGGTGAATTTGGTGGAGTTGTGTACTCAGTTTGCTATGGCAAATGAAACAAAGAGCATAGCGGATGTAGAACTTAAGGCTACTAACATAGAGAAAGAAGTGGCAGAGTCACGACTCACAGTTGTTGTAGAAGCTGGCTTAAGAGCATTGCTTTCAATAGTTGGTTCTCTGGAAAAAAAGGGTTCAAAGAGAGCGTACTTTTTCAGGGGAAACTGTTGCCAAATGTTGAAAATTGGAAAATGAAATTTCAAGAATGAATGTAGAAACTGAGCTCCGGAATGAAGCAGGTCAGTTTGGCAAACACATTTAGTTCATTTTTCAAACCAATGTACAAATCTTTCCCCATGTTGAAAGTGTTTTAAAGTTCATGATTGTATAGCAATGGCCTTACTCATTTTTTCAAGTATATAGTCTTAGTGCTTATTGTTTGCAACCATGGATTAAATGTAGATCAGCACTGTGTATATGGGTATATAGTCCCTTGTTCCAGATGCATATTAGCAAAAGACGAGAAAAAATTGTAAAATATGAAATTTTCCTGTGCCTTGATTTTTGCTATTGTCCTTATTTTCTTAGTTCTGTAACATTGATTGGATTTGGAAGCTAGATCAAGGAAAAATGTTCCCCAACATTAAACTCAGTTACAATTCACTTTGAGTTTGTTTACATTACATTCTTTCCCGAGATTTGAGAAAATACAGATAACTGTTGACGTTTCATGTCAATTTAAAGTCAATCCCTCTAAGTTAGTTGATTAACAAAAATTGATGATGTCACCAATATTTTTTTTATAAAAAAAAAAATTAAACTACCATTATACTACATTTTCTATTTTTTTTTTCACCTTCATCTCTTTTAAACCAATATTGTGTTAACAGCATCAATTACTAAATTCTGAGATTTTAAGACTTTCTTAAAGTTTTCTCTCTTCATTGTCCATAAAAATCTCCATACTTGGTGGTATTTCCAAATGCAATTTTCTTTTTCTTTCTTTTGACAATAGAGAATCATCTCACTAATGCCTCATTTTAACTTGTCGAAATAGCATAAATTATGATCCTGCTTTGCACATACCACATAAATAGGTTCAAGATTACCTCTTGAAGAAATTGAATCCTTTTGCTATTATTAACCAATAGATACTTTGGATGAATAAGTTATTCTTCAAATTTGGTATTAGCTTTCACATATATCTCGGATCCATCCAAAGATCGAAGGAGTGACTACTAGAGTTCCTATTTTAGCTTTCACGAACCCAAATTCAAGACCTCCGATGATTGCTCTAGAGAGTGTAGTTGGAAGAACTTTCATTGATATAAAAAAAATGATTGAGGGAGAGAGAGTCCTTATTTATTGATCTCTCTTCCTAGAGAGATGTGGATAGGAAGACCCATTTTTCTCTCCCACAAGGAGACATTGGTCTGATCTTTATTTAGGTGAGATCCATTAACCCATGTGGGTAAATAGATTGTGCGATTTGACAAGAACATACAACAATAGAAATATAGTCTAATAAAGCATATTTCTCAAAAGAATATTGTATACATCTCAGACACTCTTAATCCCTCATAATAAGCGGTGTTTTAATCCCAAATATGGCTAGGAGTCACATAACATGGTGACTTGTTGAATATTTTCTCCCTAAACCCCCATGTCAGTCCAATTTGACTCAACTGTTACCTAGTAATATCACTTAGACGGCATATTCTCGTTGTTTTAGATAAACAAGTTGAATTTGCAATATTGAAAATCATCTTTATGCCATGATCTTAGGAAATCAATGGGCACAAGTAGGGTCAAAAGAGTAATGATCCAAGTGGCTGACACAATAATGAAGCAGTTTCAATCATCACTCCGACTAAACTATCCGTTGACATATAGTGTATATAGTATGAAATTTATGCTATCATAGTGATCTCATAAGAATGAGCATATCAACAAACAAAAAGATAAAAGAAACGTCATATGGATTTTAGGCTAGTTATACAATATAGTACACAAGGCTTAATTTTCTCATTTCAAGCGAAAAATCATTTTGTGCATCGAAATTCCACTTGGGAAGATTATGGGATTTGGTACATGATCAAAGACTCATTAAAAACTATCATAACACTTATATGGTACACCCTGCATACAATACTTGTCCAACTCGATATCCACTTATTGACAATGATGGTTCCCTAAATATACGATTTGTGTCACTTTAACTCTCATTCTTACAATTATATCACGTTAGTCACTCAAGTTTTTAATGTCTCATTTTCATACCATTGAAAATAACAAATTTAAGTTCACTAACAAAGATAGTTATGTGCATTTCATATGACCATCCATACTTGAGGGGCATTTTCTTAAAACTTAGAGGACAAAAGTGACAAATTATAATCTTGAAGGTGCACAATGACACGAATTATAAACTTGAGAAATCAGGTGACCCTTCAAGTCCGATCATGCTAAAAACACGTGAACACCTATGCTAGTCAATTAAAACTGACCATCTTTGATTAAACTAATGTGACACAAATAAAAAAAACATAAAGCGTTACAATGACAATTAAAAGAATGAGGATCAATTTGACAAAAAAAAAACACATACTTAAAGAACCATTAGTGTATTTTCAATCCATCTTTTACAATGAAAAACGTAGGTTTAAATCCCACTTTCATAACCCAAAGGCAGGTCAAATTCAGAGCTTGATTTATATTAATCAGCTACTGGGCTATGAACCCACACAGCACATCATCAAAATAAGTAGACCTTGCTGGTACTGCAGCCTAGGCCTCTCAGTCGTATCGAATTTTAGTGAGTTCGTGATAAAAAAATATTATATTCTTACTCGATTTATTTATTAATTTATGTCTAATAAATCGTGTCAGATCAGGTTCATATCGTGTATGAACCATATATAACTGGTATATAAACGAGTCGTATCATATATATTTTTTATTGGCTTCATCTGTTAAAAGTTTAAAGTAAACTTTTGATAATTATTATATCTAAAATTTTGTAGAACATGCTTGCAATTTGTATCCTTCTACCAACATCTAGAACATTCACTTTCTCACCATTAAGTTAGAATTCTTGAACCTTCCAAACCTCCACCTACCTTGAGCTTCTAGACCCTCTTTAGTCACCTATAAATTGACCCCCTATCACCCCAAATCACCAAGCCAACAAAAACCAATCACCAACAACAATTACCATTGCAAGCTTGTTCCTAGTTTCTCTTTTGATTGTAAGCTTGTAACTTAGATTTCTCCATAATAATAAAGGTCTTTTTCTTCCCTCATTTTTGGAGTTATATTCTAATTTCTTTGTTCTTCTTCAACTTTGGTTGAGTCTTAGGCTAGTGGAAATTTATTTTTCACTATTCTAAGAAAGTAATTTCTGGAATTTAAAATTTGTCTTTCTTCACATTATCTATATTCAATTCGTTTATTAATCGTATCGTGTCGAGTCCACTCGTTTATTAAACCGATGACTTAAAAAAGACTTAAATTCTTTAATTTTGTGTCGTTATTTGTGTCATATTAACGAGTCGTGTCATATTTTGACACCCCTACTGCAGTTATCTCAAACTTATTAGGAGCTTGAACATAGAGGGTAAAGATTATAGTACTAAAAAATATTTTTCAACATAGTACTAAAATTTTTCGACACTAACATAAGAACGTTTGGAATTGCTTCTACAATTAAAATCAATCCTAACTTTTTTTGTCGTAACTTGACCGCATCTAATTGCACAACTTGATCCAAAAAGAGTGGTAACTTCCCAAAAGTTGTAACTTCAATGGAATACTTCCTTCAGTACCGCAGTCTTACTCCTAAACAGAACCCTTTAACATGCGACAACAAATTCATAATTGTTTCACAAGACAAACATCTATAATAATGTAACAGGCTTCTTTCATGATTTGGTACATTTAGAGTATATGATTTCTCCAGCTTCTACCAATATATCAAGATTCCTTTTGTAAATTCTTATATATTATCACTTACAACCAACATAAAACGCTGGACACACACACAACCCCCACCCCCCAAAACACACAACACCCATAAAAAAGACGTACCCAGTACACAACTCCCGCCATTGATGGGTCTGAAAAGGGTTAAATGTACATAATCTTACCCCTACAAGCAAAAAGACTATTTGCAACTCAAACCTGTGATCTCCAGGTCACAAACGAACAATTTTACCAGTGCACCAAGACCCACCCTCACACACACATGACCCAATTACAATGGTGGTAAGCTGCCCTTGTTCTTCAGCTTAATATTGATAGCAGAAACTTTCCCTCATTAAATCAGTTATTATTTCAAAACGCAAATACAAACAAAGCTGGAAAAAACATCCCATGTAGGAAGCTCTGCCATAATCACAATCAGGAATATTTGATATGGAATACAATAACAGAATTGGTTAAACAAATTTATACAACTCTACATCTTTTAATTCCTTTCCATAACACACCCTACCAAGATTCAACCGAGGTTTGGCTTTACGTGGAACATATTGGAGAAGGATCCGTTAGCTCAAACTAAATGGTTGATCTATGGCTTATTATATCACTCTATACAACATTGTGAATACACAAATGGGCGTCACCCACCATGAATGTGTTATAAAAAACATATTAATACAGAAACAACGTCTGGTCTGCATTATGTCTTAGAATAATGGTGAAATTTGTGACTTTGGCAGATGACCTCAAGCATACAGTCTTAGTCGCGTCGTTATGGGCTCCCGGCACAAAGGGCATGATGAAATGGTCACACCACAATCCTTGCAAGTCTAAAACAATAAAATTTGGGCATGAGAATGATAGAAACATATTTCAGCAACAAAAGCAGAGCATAATATAAACAAAAGTATTCTAGGACACACAAACACCATATAAGATCAATCAGTTGCCATAGATGAAATTGTCACTTACCTAGCAATCAAAAAAACTTAATATTACATGGATAAGATTGTGTTACAGAAAGAAATAAGTGGTTTCATTTCTTTATAATTTTATGGGACATAAGACTGTCAATATACACCCCCTTCTACATCTCCCTTTGGATAAATGTCTCCTGTTTCTCTCAAAAACTCGGAAGATGATAGCATTCCAAAAATTGTATATTAGAAAAGTGCGTAGCTTGTGTTAAAGGGAGAATTATATCACAGCCAGATCATGGGATGTAATTGACCCCCCTTTAAAATTCTGAACAAATCATTAGCTGACCAAATAACATAATTTGATGATTTGATCTCACACATCAATAAACTTGTGATCAACTCTCTGCCACAACATGTCTAAGCTCAAGTTGGAACAATGAGGATCAAGTGTCACTAAAAAGTGTTCATCTAATGCACACTTTGAGAGGATGGGGAAGTTTTAGTAAAAAGCATTCCGGAATATTTCAGGCTTATTGGCATACTTGTAATGTATCAGAAAAAATATCAAAGAAAAATGACTTCAATTAGCCTCAAGGATGTCATCTAGACCCTCATTATTATATCTACAATTCTAATATTTGCCATATTTAGGAGGTTGAGAGGGGAAAATTTTAAAAATGTAACTTCAACAGAATGTCTGTCCTTTTAATGACATAATTAATTCCTTTTCAATATTTTTATAAAGATCAGGAAGCTTGGAGCCATCACAGTTGTCCATGAGAGGGAATCATCGTCGAAGACAACTACACATTATAGGATTCCAGTTTGCAATATAAGTCACTTGAACAGAAACCTAAACACATGCATTCTGCTCGGAAGCCTCAGTGTAGACTTTGACACCAATCAACACCAACAAATATGACTTCATCTTTATGCTTACCAAATGACCGCATCCGAAAGCCATATCCTTTGGATTTGTCAAGCAAATGGGGCAGACCTTGTAAAACACAAACCAAAATTTTTCAAAAGAATATGCTAATTGGAATAGGAATCTGCATTGGGATGAAGAAATACCAACCTGTTCCACTGGTGCTGTTTGGTCAACTGACTCAAAGCTCATCATGCGTGGGACTGATTCGAAGCTCGTCATGTGTGGGAATGATTGAACAGAATTATCATGATCTATCACTTCTCGTGGAGGAGGAAGTGGCCTTGTCCGTGGACCTACTGTATTTTTACTGCAGGAATGGAATATATTGGGAATTTAGGATATTTACCTGCAATAAAATGAAACATTAACAAAACCTACAGCTCCTGGACTTACTCTATGTCATATATCCTTTGGGTGGCTCTATATTGGAGTGGAATTTCCATGAGTGCAGAAAGCGCAAAGGCTGCTTCCTTCTTTGCAATATCTGTGTTCTTGGACATTATTTTCGTGAAGTTGACAAACTGCAAGACAGTGTATGAAAAGAACATATATTAGATGTTCTCAAATTGCGTCGCAGAACAATCAAAGCATCAAAAATCCAACCACACTTCTCTTCCAACATAGAATGCTTGATATGAAAAGAATATATTGGTATAAGCACTATTGGCAGTGAACAGTTCAAAAATATACCATTAATACTGTACAATTATGGTAACTCTGTAAGGAATCACAAATGCAGGTTAAGCAACCCCTCTCCCCCTTCAGGCAGCCAGAAAAAACATAATAAATAAAAATCCCACATCCAGAACCCCAACCTGTACAGTATCTCTGAGTCCCTGCGCAAGCTACGAAGTATTCCAGTTATAATGCACATGAGAACAATAGTCCAGCATGTTTAGATAGAGCAGTAAGCAGTTTGAAACTGTGCCCTTGATCTCTCAAGATATCAACCAGCATTATGTAATCTGGTGGTACTATAGGAACGCATTAAGGGATATTCTAGTGAACTATTACTAATGTTTAACAAGCGGGTATTGCAGATGTTGAAGCATATTATTGTCTAATATTACAATAAGTATACCACTCAAGGTTATACAGTATTTTCTGTTATATTGCAATAAATGTATATGCATTGGGAGTGAGAGCTTGGGTTATTCCCTTTTCTCGTCTCAGAGTTTTTCAAAATCCTCTCTCTGTCAACAAACCCTAAAAACTAGCTTGTATCAGAGCGAGACACTTGGGGTTTGCATCTGGTAGGTCCTGATTTGTTTCCTTTGCCTTCTTCTTCTTCCTTTTCTTTGTTTCTGCTGTGTTCTTTCGTTGATCATAGTTCTGATTACTGTTAAATTACAATCATGGAATTCTGAGGTTGTTATACTGACAGGTTGATGGTTAGAGATGTCATGACGTTGGAAGATTGCTTGTTAGTAGTGTTGTGATTAACTGTGATCGTGGTTGAGTTTGTGGATCATTTATTGCTGTCGTGCTTTGTTACAGTCAATGCAGGAATGTTCTAGGATTTACTTCTCGCCATCACAGGTATTCCATAATTTGTTACCATCAACACACAAAGTACTGTGTTATGCTTGTTGCTGACATGGTGGAGTTTGCTGTTGCCATGGTTGATGTTCGGAGTTGAAGTTTGTGGTTGTTGCCCTCATCATCTTCATGAATTTCTTCTTTGTTGTGATTGTTGGTGTACTTTGTAGCTGTTATCATGGTTGAAGTTCATCATTCTGTGATTTGTGGTTGGTGTAAGAGAGGCGAACAGGTTGTTCTGTCATTTGTTGTCACTGGAACGAATAAGAAGATGAAAGTTGTTTGGTTGCGGGTGTTTCTATGCTCATTTGCCAGGTTGTGAAAGTTAGTTCTATTCAGATCTACTTTATTTTGGATCCGGCAGACCTAATTAAGCTGATTCATTGTTTCTGGTGAAAATTGCTTCAGCACGATTTGTTTCTAGGTCTGGTTCACTTACTTGTCCCAGTTCAATGTTTTTCAAGTCTGTTCCTTGGTGGTTCAGCTCGGTTCAGTGTTTTTCAGGCCCATTCAGTGCTTCCGGTTCAGTTCTTTCCAATCCAATTCAGCTCCGGTTCAGTCTTTTTCAGTCCAATTCATCCCTGTTTTGGTACTTTCTAGCCTGGTTTACCTCTGGTTCTATTTTTTCAGCCTGGTTCAGCCCCTGTTCAATATTTTAAACTGCATTTCTTTGTTGAAATTGCTTTCAAACAAGACATTCTGTTAGGTCCCACCGAATAAAGAAGCCTAATCACAAGTACGTGGGCGTGTGAGACTAGCTGGTTAGTTAAGTTGTTGCAGATTATTTGCAAGTATCATGTTTGTGGTTAGAGTAGTTATAGATTGTGGGTAGTTTTGTTACGGGTAGTGGCTTGTCTTTAGGAAAGTTGTTAACTGATGTTTGTATAAATCTAGCATGAGTCTGAATAAAGTATCAGAGTTTCAAACCCAAGTAAACTGCCTGTAGTGTGTTCTGGCCCAAACTGGAACTTTTCTCCTCTCTCCTAATTACTGTCTTATCATTTGGTATCAGAGCCAATGACGACCAACAAAGAAAGAATAGAGAAGTTGGAAAGAGATTTATTGGAAGTTCATGAAGGCATATGTCGTTTGGAAGTTTCAACGAGGGCCGACGCTCAGGAAAATTCTGCAAATCTCCAATGAGTTGACGACACCCTAAAGGAGATAATGGGAAAGATTTCTGGCATGCACATTCAAGTTGATCGCTCCTCTTCATCGGCACCTCCTGTGGGGTCGTTGAGCCGTCCTACAGTTGTTCAAGAGTCCACTAGTCAACGTGTTGCTCCTCGCTATTTGAAGATGGATTTTCCACGTTATTCTGGTACAGATCCAACAGAGTGGCTCAACAAGATCACCCTTCTTCGAATACCAGGGTATGCTGGATGATCAGCGAGTGACCCTAGCCTCCTTCCATCTAACCAGTGGTTACAATGGCTGCAGCAAGCTTATCAACAAGAAGGATCAATCATCACATGGGATTTCTTTGAAAAAGAGCTGTTAGCGCGTATTGGACCCACTGAGTATGAGGATTTTGATGAGGCCGCTATCAAAAATAAAACAAACAGGAATGCTCAGGGAGTACCAGCGAGAATTTGAAAAGTTAGCCAATTGGGCTGTGGGCTGGCTGCAAAGAGCTTTAATTGGTACATTTCTTGGAGGGCTTAAAGAGGAAATTTCAGGGGAGGTTCGGATGTTTAAGCCGAGAACTTTGCGGGAAACTATTGAGTTGGCTCGAATGAGGGATGACCGTATTTCTCATCAATGACAAATTTCGCGACAGTTTCCCCCACCCATGGTGCTCCCTACTAATTGCCATGTTGCTGCCTCTAATGTGAAGAAAATTTCATGGGACGAGATGCAAAGTCGGCGTGAGAAAGGTTTATGCTTTTATTGTGATGGGCGATTTACTCTGGGGGCATAAGTGTCGGACTTCTCACCTACTCTTGATTGAGAATATTCATGAAGAAGGGGAGGGATTTTCGGAAGAAGACCATTCGTGGACCAAGGATGATATGCAGACGGAAGTAATTCCAGAGATATCGTTGCATGCCCTCTCTAGATGGAAGGCTCCGCGTACTATACGCATAGTTGGGCACATCTTCAAGAAACCAGTTTCGGTATTAATTGACAGTGGTTCAACACCCAATTTTATCAATGATAAGGTTGCTGAACAGTTGCACCTTTCTATCTCTTCTACTGTAGTGTTTCCGGTGATGGTGGCCAGTGGAGACCAGCTCGCTTGTAATGAAAAATATGATAATGTTGATATGAAGATTCAATGTTTTACTTTCTGTACCACTTTGTACTCTCTTCCCTAGACGGGATCAGATGTTGTCCTCGGCATCCAATGGCTAGAGCAACTTGGACCAGTTTTATGCGACTGGAAAAAACTTGCAATGAAGTTCTCGGTGCAAGATTGTGTTTACATCCTTAAGGGACAATCTGTGTCTCCAGCACAACCTGTTTCTCTTCACATGTTGGAACGGACAGTAGGCAAATGAGCTGAACTTTTTGCTTTGCAGGTCAACAATGATGTCAATACGCCACCCATTGATACACCTGCCGACATCCAAGCTATATTACAGGAATTTGCTGTTGTATTCGAAGAACCTTGGGGGTTGCCTCCCACTCAAGAATTTGATCAATGCATTCCTTTAAGGATGGTGCAACTTCAGTTAATGTTCGGCCTTACAGGCATCCACATTACCAAAAAAATGAAATTGAACGCCAAGTTGATGTGATGCTTGAGTCTGGTATTATCAGACCAAGTAACAGTCCCTTTTCTTCCCCAGTATTACTCGTCAAGAAAAAAGATGGAACCTGGAGGTTTTGTACAGATTATAGAGCTTTGAACTCCATCACCATTAAGGATCGTTTCCCAATCCCTACAGTCAACGATATGATTGATGAACTTTATGGTGCAAAATTTTTCACAAAGCTAGATCTCAGATCTAGTTACCATCAAGTACGTGTTCATCCCGACAAAGTGTACAAAACAGCCTTTCGGACTCACAACGGATGCTATGAATATCTCTTCATGCCTTTTAGATTGTGCAATGCACCTTCAACTATCCAAGCAGCCATGAATTCTCTTTTTTGGCCATATCTTAGAAGGTTCGTCTTGGTTTTCTTTGACGACATCCTTATTTATAGTGTCACATGGGAGTCTCATCTTGAGCACTTGCGTTTAATTCTTGAAATTTTATCTCGACATCAACTCTTTGCAAGGTCCTCAACGTGTGTATTTGGTGAGACCGAAATTTCATACCTTGGGCATATCATTTCTACCCATGGCGTCTAGGTAGATTCTACCAAAATTGCAGCAGTACAATCTTGGTCGGTTCCAAGAATCATTACAGAGTTAATAGGCTTCCTGGGCTTAATTGGTTATTATAGGAAATTTGAGAAGAATTATGGAATTTTGGCTGCACCTCTTACTGTTCTACTCAAAAAAGGACAATTTGCGTGGAATTCACAAGCAGCCGAACCCTTCAATTCCCTCAAGCAAGCCCTGATGTCTGCACCAGTCCTTACTTTGTCCAATTTTTTAGAGACTTTTGTCCTACAGACGGATGCGTCGGACAAAGGCATCGGAGCTGTCCTTTCTCAATAAGGGAGGCCATTGGCTTTCATAAGCAAAGCCCTTTGCCCAACCAAACAAACTTGGTTGACATATGAAAAGGAAATGTTAGCAATTTTGGAAGCAATTCGAGTTTGGTGTCCATATCTTCTGGGTCGACGATTTCAGATTCAGACTGACCAATGAAGCTTAAAGTATCTCTTATAGCAGCGAGTGGTCACGCCCGAACAACAGAAATGGGTGTCCAAGCTCATCGGTTTTGAATATGACATTGCATATAAGTCGAGAAAGGAAAATTCTGCTGCTGATTTGTTATCAAAGCATCTGAGTCCACCTACAATTCTAGGAATCTCTTGCCCTCAATTCATGATCCTCGATGAGCTAAAAGATGCTAATCGGACAGAACCTTACTTTCAAGAGCTCCATAAT